GATGGTATTGTATGTTTCCTATTGCATTCTCATGTGACACACAATGTCTGTTCCTCTCTTTAAGATGTTAAGATTGATCCCTGGGTTCAGATGTTGCCAGCCTGATCTGTTATAAGGTTTGCCATTAGCTTCTGTCTTAATAGTTTCAGCAGCCATTGATGATTATTGCCTCAGTCTCCTATAGACTTTATATATAGAGTTATGAGCTTATAAATTTGGAAAACTTCACCTATTTCCACTTTTAATCCCTAATTTATTCTAGTATCTCAATTATTTACTTTTTTTCCTCTCTCAGTCTATAATGGACCTATAATTCTCTATGACCTGGTCTCTAAAGGGTGTTACATGGAACATAATACTATAAGGTACAATATTGAGAAAAGGATTCTTGAGTGGGGGGTATGCCTCATAATGTTTGTTTTTTTCCCTTGAGGAATTATAACATACATGAATGTACTCAAGTTCTGAGCAATTTGTCAAATAAGAATCTTGACTTACCTGGAGTTTCACCATCTTATATTATCACTGTTTTCTTTTATTATGAATGCTTATTGGTATCCTGCTTAGAAAAACACTTTGAAATGTGCCTCAAGGATGAGGTGAAAAATGTTCCTCTCAGGCTTGCTGATTTTGAGGTCATGACTTAACAATGGTACCTTCTTGAGAGAAAGATAAATGTGAGAGCCATTAAAGTTCAGGTGGTAGATTCATGCGTTTCACTGTTTTTTGTTAGTATAATTTCATCTTCATTGTATTGATTGCTTCAATTTCTTTGTTTCTTTTCATCTTTACTTATATATTCCAAATATGTTAATTATGAAGGAAATTAAGTCCAACTGTCACAATCACAAATTTAAAAAATTATAACACAATTTGCTTTCTTGACAAATTTGTATATGCACATACCACACACACACACACACACACACACATGCTCCAAAGCGCATTTCAATGATTTTATTTCAGATGTAATATTGGTACCCGAGGAATAGAAAGGGAAATCATAAAACTAATTTAGACTTTTTTTTGCTTCAGATATCTAGTCCAGATTTGTTTTCATTCTAGAGG